TGATGTCAATTAGGGTAGTCATCAATCTGATTACAGAAGAAGGCCAATTCAGGCACCCTCTCCATTATTACTAGGAGTCTTAGTGGGGGTCATCCTTGTGAATTCCTGGGACATATCTTTGGCACCAGGTTTCTCCCTAACCCCATACAAACATGAGGGTTTGGGATGGTTGAGTTGGGGGAGGGATGGAGAGGGAGGGCAATAACGGAGATACCTTGATAGAGAGGGCCAGGCCACATTATTAATAAGAGGAAGGCTGGCCAGCAGGGAAGGGTTGCTCTCTTATGATTGGGTTTTTGGGAAGGTTTGATTAGCTTGCAGTTGGCAGAAGTGGACTGGATATTTATTGAAGGAATGTTTGAATCCATTAGATGCCCTGTGACAGGCTCCTCTATGCTTGGGACCAGTGTTAAAATCACTTTTCCCTCATCCTATTCCCAGTTAAGGGAATTCTCAGTGTAGTGAGTGCAGTCTGCCATCGTTTTAGGCTCACCCATGAGAACACAAAGGCAGCAGAGATGAGATTGTCTTCGCTTTCAATGGTGCAGCTATTGGTAGGTTCCCCATGCTCTAGTGGGTGACTGTACATTCTGACAGTACTGAGTGGACTCAGTGGGCATTTAAAAGCCACAGGGAAAGAAAAGGTGGTAGGGAATATAGGTGAGCAATTAGAGGGGAGGAAATAGAATGGGGCCTATCAAACCACATTATACGCTTGTATGACATTCTGTTGTTGGTTTTTTTTTTACTCTTTTGCTTTTTTTGGGGGGGTGCCACCCAGCTCCCAAATAAATTATACACTGAGACTTATTACTTATAAATGCCCAGCCTTAGCTTGGCTTGTTTCTTGCTAGCTTTTTAATTTAAATTGTCCCATCTATCTTTTGCCTCTGGGATTTTTCCTTTTCTTATTTCTGTATGTCTTGCTTTCCCTCTTACTCTGTAGCTTGCTGGCCCCTGATGTTCTCCTCTCTCTTTCTTATTGCTTTTTCCTCCCTCTTTTCAGATTTCTTCTCCTATTTGTTCTCTCTGGCCGACAGCCCCGCCTATCTTTTCTCCTGCCCAGCTATTGGTCATTCAGCTTCTTATTAGACCAATCAGGTGTTTTAGACAGGCAAAGTAACACAGCTTCACAGAGTTAAACAAACACAACACATCTTAAACTACTATTCCACAACAAAACTCTCAGACAATGAGAAAGCAAAAGTAGCTTTAAAAGGGAGAGAAGACGAGAGGAGGAATGTTGTTTCAGGGTTGTGGGAGGAGATGAAGGGTGGAATACTTGATGGATATGACCATATTTCATTTCATCTGTATATGCCATTCTTAAGAATAAAGATGTTTAAAAAAATAAAGAGATTTATTTAGAGGAGAAAGAGAAGATAAGCCCAAACCCTGTACCATAGTGCTATACAGCTGTGTGTGCTGCCAACAGTGAGCAAAGCCATGCACACTCTGTGTCTGTCTGTTGACAGT